ATAACTTCTCAAGCTGTCCCAAGGGCCTGTCTTCGCCCACGGAGCTGAGGGTGGCAAAGCATTTATTTCCTTTCCCAGCTTCTCGGCATCTGATTTCCGGTGCTCCCAGTGCTGTGACACATGGAAAGGGGAAGTCAGGCCAGATCTGGGCTCCCCTGGGATCGGGTCTCCAGGCCAGCTGTGGGCCAAGGAGGCAAAGGTCTCAGAGGGGTTGAGTAAGGATGGGAAGCATCGCACAGTTGCACCCAGTTGGGGCCAAAGGGATCTGGGAGGAAGAACTGGGATCTGGGATCCCAACAGGACTCAGAACACTGCTGGGAAGGAAGAAAGACCTCCCCCAAAACACTCTGGTGCTCAGAATCCACTGAAATCCACTGGGATCCCTTTGCCCTGGTCTGAATCCCCTGCACATAAATCTATAGTGGAAAGCTCCAAAGCAACAGGGCTTGATTGATTCCCTGTAGACGGAGAAGAACTGCAAAGGAGAGGCCAGAAGGCTCCTGAGGCCGTGCAGAGTGTTTTTTGCCTCCCCCCCCTTTCTTTCAGATTCCTTTTGTAGGTCAAATTCAACCCTCTTTCCTTTGGTGCGGTTCTTTTTTTTTAAAGAGATCATTTTACGTTGTAAAATTACAAAGGTGGATTGCAAATAATTTTCAAAACAAACAAACGAACAAATAAATACAACCGTTCATTTAGTGGCCGTTCGTAATTACAACGGGGCTGAAAAAAGTGACCAATTACCATCCCCCTCGGTCATTTGATCAAAATCCAGACGCTTGGCAACTGACTCGTACTTATGACGGTTCCAGTGTTGTCTCCCAGGGTCACGTGATCCTGTTTTGCGACTTTCTGAGAGGAAATCCAGGTTCACTTCACAATTGTGCTGCTACTAACTTAACAACGGCAGTGACTAACAACAGCTGTGGTAAGACAGGTCCTCAGATGGGGCAACACTCCCTTAACAGCGACAGAAATGTTGGGCTCAGTTCTGGCTGTAAATCAAGGACTCCTTGGAATTGATGCCCTGGTGATTTTCTTATTTCCATTTTGTATTTGCTCTCCCATTTCTTCCACCAGGATGGGTTATCAATGCCTCGAGATCCATCGCTCGATCGCTCGATCAATAATCAATCTATCTTAATAATAATAATAATAATAATAGTAGTAGTAGTAAAGTTGGAAGGGACCTTGGAGGTCATCTAGTCCAACCCCCTGCTCAGGCAGGAAACCCTACACCATTTCGGACAAATGGCTGTCCAGTCTCTGGGTGAGCCGAAGAAAGATGCATATCTTTCTTCGGCTCACCCAGTCCATCATTCAAGCACCGGTTCACCTTTCTTAATAGGGGCCCTGAAGGATGGGCACTGGAGTCCAAATCCAGCGAAGACTCCAGCATTGGGAAAAAGGGGCTCCCTAGTTATTCTGGACTACATTGCCCACGGGCCCCAGCCAGCAGGACCTGCGGGCACCATGCTGGATGTAGTTCACCCCCAGCAGAACATACAACTGTTTCTTGATTCATCCGTCCTTTGTTCCAAACAACATTTCCAGCCTCGTCTCCAAAACCAAGCCAGAGGAAGATGTACGAACGAAAGAATGTCATCAAGACTAAAATTGCCTCGTTACAAGCCTGGGAGAATAAACAGTGTGGGTACAAGCCCCAAACAAATGCAAGCCGATCATTAGGCTGACTTCTTCTGAAGATATTGTTTTATTCTTAAATTACTGCCACCGGGAAGCTGTGAGGCTGGGTGGCCCACCCCCTGCCCATCGGGGAGAGCAGAAATTAAGTTTATTTTGCTAAATGGAAAAGAATGCAGACGTTTCTCCCAATCTGAACAGAGCAGAAACGTAATCAACGTTCAAGATCGGCCCTTCCCCTCTTTGTGTCGGACATAAGTAAGCAGCGTTGAAGTCGGATTTGGGGGACTACAGGGAGAACTTGACTTAACAACAGTCGGTTTAGCGACCGTGCAAAGTTACAATGACACCGGGAAACGTGATTTACTTCACACTTACGACCGTTGCAGAATTTCCCCATAATCACGTGAAAAAAATTCAGACGCTTGGCAAATGGCTCCTAGTTATGACGGTCGCCTTTCGTGTCCTTCTGGGGAAGCCCGATTCACTTAACATCGGTGTGACTAGCTTAACAATGTCGTGGATTCCCTTAACAACTGTGGCAAAAAAAAAAAAGTTGCAAAACGAGGCAAAACCGACTTAACAACAGTCTTTGTTTAGCAAAGGAAATATGGGGCTCGGCTGTGGACGTAGATTGAGGACTATCCATATCTCCCTGGGCTGCACCCTGAAAAAAAATATAGGAAGAATTAGAGCAAACTTTGGAGAAATGCAGAAGTGAGTTTGACGGAGTCAAAAAACCCGGCAAAATGAGTAGAAAGCGAACTCGAGAAATTTGTGGAATAGAATAGAACAGAATAACAGAGCTGGAAGGGATTTGGGGGGGGGTCTTCTTCATCATCAAAAAGTTGGAAGGGACCTTGGAGGTCATCTAGTCCAACCCCCTGCTCAGGCAGGAAACCCTACACCCTTTCGGACAAATGGCTGTCCGGTCTCTTCTTAAAAACTTCCAGTGTTGGAGCATTCACCGCTTCTGGAGGCAGGTTGTTCCACTGGTTAATTGTTCTCACTGTCAGGAATTTTCTCCTTAATACTAGGTTGCTTCTGTCCTTGATCAGTTTCCATCCGTTGCTTCTTGTCCTGCTTTCAGGCGCTTTGGAGAATAGCTTGACTCCCTCTTCTTTGTGGCAGCCCCTGAGATACTGGAACCCTGCTATCATGTCACCCCTGGTCCTTCTCTTTGTTAAACTAGACATCCCCAGTTCCAGCAACCGTTCTTCGTATGTTTTAGTCTGCAGAACTGACACAACTCTGCACAATTGAGTTGTAGAAGTTGACCAGTTTTCACCCAGTTCTCGTCGGCTTGTGGGTAACTTCCATATCATCCAGTTCGGATGTCCGGTTGCGTGACCGCATTCTCCGGCACATCTGGAAAACGCCAAATTGGAAAGACGCGGCAAAGATGGACGAGAAAAACAGCTCAGGATTCTGTCTGTGAAAATAATACGAAGAGGATCGCTTTGTGTTTGAGCCCCCCTCAGGGGTTTCAGGGCAGACTGTTAGGAAAATCAGTGGGTGTGGGTGACCGGCAATGGGTGGGTGGATAAATGAATCACTTGTCCAGAACAGAACTCCTGATTCCAAAAGTCCATAGAATATAGCTAGGATTGAAGAGAGCTTTTCGTCTTGCCTTCAATCAGCAAATTATAATTCAAGTTTCTGTTGAATAGCAGAGATGGAAGGGACCTTGGAGGTCTTGTAGTCCAGCCCTCTGCTTAAACAGAAGACCCTATACTATTCCAGACCAATGGCTGCCCAGTTTCTTACTAAAAACCTTCAGTGTTGGAGTACCCATAATTTCTGCAGGCAAGCTGTTCCACTGTTCATTGTTCTCGCTGTTAGGAAATTTCTCCGTGGTTTTAGGTTGCTTCTCTCCTTGATTAGTTTCCATCCATTGCTTCGTATCCTGCCTCCAGATGTTTTGGAAAACAGGTTGACCCCCTCCCCTCTTCGTTGTGGCAGCCCCTCAGATATTGGAACATGGCTATCATGTCATCCCCTCGTCCTTGTTTCCACTAGACTAGACATACCCAATTCCTGCAATCGTTCTTCGTATGTTTTAGCTTCCAGCCCCCTAATCATCTTAGTTGCTCTTCTCTGCACTCTTTCCAGAGTCTCAACATCTTTTTATAATAGAATGACCCAAAGTGGATGCAGTGTGGCCTTACCAAGGCCTTGTAAAGGGGTACTAAAACTTCATGTGATCTTGATTCTATCCCTCTGTTAATGCAGCCCAGCACTGTGTTGGCTTTTTTGGCAGCTGCAGCACACGGCTGGCTCCCACTGAAGTGATTGTCCACTAGGACTCCGAGATCCCTCTCACAATTACTGCTATTGAGCCAGGTCTCACCTAATCTGTATCTGTACATTTGGTTTTTTCTTCCTAAATGTAAAACCTTACTTTTTATCTTTTTATCTGCATCGAATCTTTTTCATCTACGTTCAGTTTCCATTTCCATTTTTAATCTAACCTGAATTTCATCTTGTTAGACAGATGTTTCTTACACCGAATTTAAAGTGTGTTAGAATTTAGAGGCTGCTGAAAATTGGGTGGCAGATAAATGCAATGATTTGGAATCAAATCAAATGAAATCAGATCAAATTCCCCTGTCCAAGAGACAAACTGCTTCGGCTCTGTGGACGTGTCCCTGTGAGTCATCTGGAGCTGAGCTCATTGTGCAAGGAAGCTGATTTTTTTTTTTTCATAACTTTCTCGGACTCTGGGGACTGCCATTTGCAGAATTCCCAGCCAGCCTGCTGGGAACTGCAGTATGCATGCCATCAGCTGATCCCACGTATTGCAATCTGTGCAAAAGTGTTGCAGATTGCAAAAGTTTTAAAGCTTTGCATGGAATACAGGCTACGAAATCAGGACGTGGCAGGCGAGCAGGCTGGTTTTTAGCTTCTTGTCCAGTGGGAGTTATAGTTCAGAACAGCTGGAGAATTCAGGTGCCCAAGAGTCTTTCCTCCAAGGGGAGAGTCCGGATACCCCTCCAGAAAAAGGCAAACATCTCTACTTGAACCTGGTCACCATACTGTAACCTCCAATGGCAGGCGAATAGGTGCATTCTGCCACCTGGTGGCACGTCTGCAAAACTGCAAAGCAACTCTGGGTTGGTTTTAATCCGGTTGACATTTTTAAGGGAAGAGAATTTGCAGATCTAAAGACATTTTTAGAGCATTTGTGGGCAGGCAGCTGACCTCCATTCCTCACCCCCAATTTCCAGCCAGACCTGAGTGATGTAACTAGAGATACCGTCAGCAAATTTCTTGGCTCTCAAAGGTCAAAGACTTTTCAGCCTTCTGAACTGGCTTTTGATGCCGATTCTTTGAGATTTTTCTCTTTGGGATACGTGAAATGATTGTGATATTAATGGCGAATATATTTTAATAAGATGAAGGATATGTACTGATTAACTGATATCATTTATGATTATTGTTTCTCATATTTACTATAGCTCCTTACTAATTATTATTATTATTCTCCCCTTTTTGTCACAAGCGAAATCAAGCCAGAGTCACTTAGCAAGCGTGTCCCTAACTTAGAGAGGTCGTAAAACGGGACAAAGCCCGCTCAACGCACGTCCCGCTTAGCAGCAGAAATTCTGAGCACCGGCTGGGGGCGTACGTCAAGGAGCTACCCGTACATATTCGGTAGGGCACTTTGACAGGTGAAAGGACCAACTGCGTCATCTTCGGAGTTCTGCAGGATGCTTCGTCTGCGGAGACCCAGACCGAGATGGCAGACCCTGGCAGGACATTCCTTGCCCTCCGACGAAATCCTGGAAAGGATTTTGGAAGGAAGGGACGGGAGGAAAGCAAAAACAGATGGGTGGGAAGGAGCGAGAGAGGTTCTCGCCAAGCACCCTGGAATGACTCAGCCTGCAATCATCTGCTCGGAGGGCCAGCCGCGTCGTCGTCGGTTGGGTGGAAACGAAAGTCTTCTCCAGCGCCGTGTTCCCGAGCAAAGCCGGTGGGACTTGCCAAAGTGCAGGGAACAAGCCAGGCTGTTCCCATCTGGAGTGGGCTGCTAAGAGCTGGAGGTTCAGGAAGGTTTTTGGAGGGTAGAAAAGGGGTGGGTGGGTGGCGGCTGAATCCCTGCCCTGGTCTACTCTGGCTTCCGAGCGAGGAAGACCCCCCAGCGTTGGTCTCCGGCTGCGCAGCGTTGCAGTTTTGCTCGCCATCCGGATGCCATGGACTCGAACTCGTCCTCCGAGAACTCCTGAGGATGAGGGGGAAAAAATAAATAAAAATGAGAGGAATATTGAGAACGGTCCCTGGGGAGAAAGGAATCTGTTCAGCTTGGAGAATGTGGAGAACCAGTTTTAAGGCACCAGGCTAGTAACCGGGAGATGGGAGTTCTAGTCCCGCCTTAGGCATGAGAACCAGCTGGGTGACTTTGGGCCAATCACCAGGAGGCGGTGAGTTCAAGTCCCGCCTTAGACATGGAAGCCCACTGGGTGACTTTGGGCTAATTACCAGGAGACGGTGAGTTCTAGTCCTCATCTTAGACATGAAAACTGTCTGGGTGACTTTGGGCCAATCACCAGGAGGCGGTGAGTTCAAGTCCCGCCCTAGGCATGGAAGCTCACTGGGTGACTTTAAGCCAATCACTCGGAGAGGGTGGGTTCTAGTCCCGCCTTTGACATGAAAACTGGGTGATTTGGGGCCAATCACCAGGAGACGGTGAGTTCTAGTCCTGCCTTAGCCAAAAAGCCGTCTGCATAACTTTAGGGCAATCCTTCTCTCTCAGCCCAACCCACCTCACAGGGCTGTGGTTGTGGGAAAAATAGGAGAAGAAGGAGTGTTTGATAGGTTAGCCATCTTAAGTTATAATAAAGGCGGGAAATAAACAAACAAACAAACAAATAACATCAAGATTTTTCATCTGAACCTCAAACATCCTCACCACTCTGGTCCAGCCCAATGGAGGAGAAGCTACTCGGTATTTCTGCTGGCAGCATCGACACTAGAGTCCCCATAGCTCAAGGTGTGCCACCCACAGGTAACAGAATAACAGACTTGGAAGGGACCTTAGAGGTCTTCTAGTCCAACCCCCTGTTCAAGCAGGAGACCCTATACCAAGGGTCTTTAAACTTGGCTCTTTGATGACTTGTGGACTTCAACTCCCAGAATTCCTCAGCCAGCATTGTTGGCTGAGGAATTCTGGGAGTTGAAGTCCGCAAGTCATGAAGGGGCCTTAGTTCCTCCATGCTGGCTGAGGAATTCTGGGAGTTGAAGTCCACAAGTCATGAAGGGGCCAAGTTTGAAGGCCCCTGGCCTATACCACTCTCTTTTTTCCACAGTTATACCTTTGTGCTACATTTGCCATCCCACCTGGACAAACTTCTCCTTGCTTGTCTCCAGCGCTTGAAGCTCTTGAGTCAATGCAGACAACATCTGGTCCGTTGAGTCCAGCGCTCGGACCTGGACAAAGCCAGCCTCTTGCAGTAACTACGGAAGGAGAACCAGAGATCGAACTATCGGATAGGAAGGCATGGATGAATTTGAGCACAAGCGTCTATGGAGATGGATGGTTGTCCCAAAGAGGCAATTGGACTTTCCTGTTTCATCTTTGAAGACGTTTCGCTTCTCCTCCAAGAAGCTTCATTAGCTCTGACTGGATGGTGGGGGAGTGGAAGGATTTATACTCCTTGCAGACAGCTGGTCGTTTGCCTTCTTTTATTGCAGGGGCCTTCAAACCTGGCCCTTTTAGGACTTGAACTCCCAGAATTCCTCAGCCAGGCACACTGGTTGAGGAATTCTGGAAGTTGAAGTCCACAAGTCATAAAACGGCCAAGTTGGAAGACCCCTGTTTTAGAGAGTCTTCTCCCGTTAACTTTGCTTGCCGGGAGGTCGCAAATCATGTGACCCCCGGGACACAGCAACCCTTGTTAATACCTGGCACTTGTGACGGTCGTTAAGGGGAAGTCACTTTTTCCAGCAACATCGTAACTTTGAACGGTCATGGAATGGCTGATCGTAAGTGGAGGACTCCCTGCAATAGATGAATCCCGCCCTGAATTTGGAAATTTCTTCCACCTCACATACGCTACCTGGCCGTAGTCTCCCAGAGTAAGCAGATTGTACTTCCTCTGCTCGACGTATTGCGTGAAAGCGGTGGACCATGGACGCGGCCCACAGCAATAATCGGAGACGAGAAGCTGCCCGCCTGCTTTCAGCCATGACTAGGAAGAAGTAGGAGATAGCTGTGTAAGACTGACAAGTAGGCTCCAAGGCTGGCTGGCTGGGGAACTCTGGGAGTTGAAGTCCATCCATCTTAAAGCACGCTTGGTGGGGAATTCTGGGAGTTGAAGTTCACCTTTATTAAAGCATGCTTGCCTGGGAATTCTGGGAGTGGAAGTTGACCCCTCTTAAAGCACGCTAGCTGGGGAATTCTGGGAGTGGAAGTCCACCCCTCTTAAAGCACGCTGGCTGGGGAATTCTGGGAGTTGAAGTTCACCTTTATTAAAGCATGCTTGCCTGGGAATTCTGGGACTGGAAGTCCACCCCTCTTAAAGCAAGCTGGCTAGGGAATTCTGGGAGTTGAAGCCCACCCATCTTAAATGTGCCAAACATCCATAACCTTGACCAAAGGCTCTGAGTTTCTTGTGTCTATTCAGAGAAGGCTGGCTTCTCGTATTTATCTGCAGACTCACCAGGAACCTCTGAAAAAGACCGATTTTGTCTTCAATGTGCAGGATAGTGTCTCGGCTGTAAACAATATCAAAGGACGCTTGCGGGAATATCCTCCGGGTCACGTCACTGATTTCAAACTGGACCTGGAAATAGGAACAATCGGAGAAAAAAAGACCAATGGGGGCCAAAGCTAAAAAAAAATTCAAGGATTTTTCACCGCTAAGTGGAACGATCTTAATCCTAACCCCTAGCCCAAATTATCCTGCTTGAATTCCGTATCTTTTCTTTTCTGCTTATTACCAGCGAGCTGGGTTCCTGTTGCGCCCGTTCCAGCGCCATCTCCACCATATTGGAGGAAAGATCAAGGCCTAAGACCTCCACCCCAAATTCCTGCAAAGGAAATAAATAAATATTATACATTTGTATAAGCAACTCGCTCAGACCAGCTGCCCGGTCTATCCTAGGGGGTTCCCCAATTCAATTCTGCAATGCTCTTTCAGAGAGGGTTTTTAAAAAAAAAAAAAAAAATCTGCTTAAAGGAAATTAAAAAAACAGAATCTATGCCAAGGCGATTAAGATGACGAATTAGAAAAGACGCTTCACAGCGGTGTGGTTGTTACTTGTAGAAATACTAGAAAAATGTTTACATTCCATTGTTCTCCATTAAAATGCTAGGAAATGTAATTTAAGATTGATAAATGAGAATGTGATTGGAAGAAGAGAAAATCAAGCAAAGCTACGATGCGGATTACAGAACTATAGAAACTCATTGTTGTTGATTGTTTGTAAATATAAACCCAGACAACAGGCTGTTTACCAAATATTAAGGTGATTATATTAAAAAAAAGTAAATATATTAAAAAAACGAAAAGTGCCTCAAGGATGTCTCAAGGGTGCTTTTTCATGAGGCAACTGGACTTTCTTGTTTTTCACTGAAGACGTTTCGCTTCTCCTCCAAGAAGCTTCTTCAGCTCTGATTGGATGGTGGGGAGTGGAAAGATTTATACTCCTTGCAGACCGCTGGTCATTTGCCTCCTTTTAGAGAGTCGTTGAGGCCACTTGAAGGTTTACCTGTGTCCTCAGGGTTTACCTGAGTTGTGCAAACATGGGAGTGGAACCCGGTCCTTTCAGCACTTCCAAGAAAGCTCCACACCCATTTGCACCACTCAGGTAAACCCTGAAGATACAGATAAACCTCCAAGTGGCCTCAACGACTCTCTAAAAGGAGGCAAATGACCAGCTCTCTGCAAGGAGTATAAATCCTTCCACTCCCCACTAGCCAGTCAGAGCTGAAGAAGCTTCTTGGAGGAGAAGCGAAATGTCTTCAGTGAAAAACAAGGTAGTCCAGTTGCCTCCTCAAAAAAGCACCTTTGGGACAATCAGGAGCTGGACGACTGAGAATCTCCATAGCCAGGGCCTCAAAGACTATCTGTATATTTAGTGTGAGAGAAGGACGCTGTGTGGTAAGAGATGGATCTGTCTGTGGTGAAGGCCACGAAGGGACCATCTTTAGCGATCATAAGGGATTGCTTCCACTGTCGGTGAGGGGAATTCTGGGAATTGATGTCCACAGGTCTTAAAGTTGACACATTTGGAGACCAATGATCCACACAGACGGCAAGGGATGGGCCCATTTTTAACCGCAGGGCAAGAACCCTATGGAGAACCGTTGAGGTGAACCAATCCCTGGGAGAAGACAAATGAAACAAAGACCTACGGAAGACTCCACGTCTGAGTGAACTTTAGAACCGACTTCCCTGAGGTCATTATAATCAGAATGATAACTCAACGAAAGCCAAGGTACCTTGGCCAGGTAAAAATCGCTACCCCCAAGTCCACAGCCCACGTCCAGCACACGTTGACCCGGTTTCAAATCCAACAAGCGTACCAGCTCCTAGGGGAAAAAAATGGGGGATGTTAGTTGGACTTCAGAATAGGGCAGGTCAGGGCAGGATAGGAGACTGGAGAGGACAGGGGGCTAAAACATGTAAAGAGCGGTTGCTGGAATTGGGTATGTCTAGTTTCATGAAAAGAAGGACCAGGGGTGATATGATAAACGTACTCCAGTGCTTGAGGGGCTGCCCCAAAGAACAGGGGGATCAACTTATTTTCCAAAGTCCCAGAAGGCAGGACAAGAAACAACGGATGGAAACTCACCAAGGAGAAAAACAACCTGGAACTAAGGAGAAATTTCCTGACAGTGAGAACAATTAACCCGTGGAACAGCTTGCCACCAGAAGTTGTGGGTGCTCCATCACTGGAGCCTTCAAGAAGAGACTGGACAGCCATTTGTCTAAAGTGGTAGATAGGATCTCCTGCTTGAGCCGTGTGGGGGCTGGACTAGAAGATTTCCAAGGTCTCTTCCAACACTGTTATTCTGTTAAGGATAGAATAACAGAATTGGAAGGGACCTTGGAGGTCATCTAGTCCAACCCCCTGCTCAAGCAGGAGATCCTATATCATTCCAAACAAATGGCTGTCCAGTCGCTTCTTGAAAACCTCTGGTGATGGAGCATCCATGACTTCTGAAGGCAAGCTGTTCCTAGCCAGCATGCTGGAGTTAAAGTCCTCCCATCTTAAAACATGCTGGCTGGGGGATTCTGGGAGTTGAAGTCCATTCATCTTGAAGCATGCTGGCTGGGGGATTCTGGGAGTTGAAGCCCACCCACCTTAAAGCATGCTGGCTGGGGAATTCTGTGAGTTAAAGCCCTCCCATCTTAAAGCATGCTGGCTGGGGAATCCTGGGAGTTGAAGCCCACCCATCTTAAACTTACCAAGGTTTAAAAACACCAATGTATATCTTATACAGACTCAGAAACTGTGTTCATCAGGGTAGCCAATTTAAGTTAGGAAGCGATTGGGAACAAGGACACTCCACATTACCTTGGTGCTCTTCAAGCCCCCTGTGCTGACAAACGTGGGTCCAAAGACCCATTCGTAGCGCCGGATGCTCTGAGTGGCATATTGCTCGTTGTCCAGAAATTTCTGGAAGGTGTCATATCCAAGTGTGTTTTTGAGCTCCCGGGGGACTTTCTGGAGAAGCCAGCAAATCTGATTCTGGTTTTGCTTTTTCTGGGGGGATAAACAAACAGACCAAGAAACCAAACTTGACGTTAGGATGGAGAATTTGAGGATCACATTTGGTTTGTGCTTTAAGCTCACGTTTCTAGTCCCTCATGTCTTGGCAAACCAAGATCATCATCTTGGCAAAAACATGGTGGTCAGCTGTTTTTTGTTTGTTTGTTTTTTTAAAAAATAGGCAGGTTGTTTTGCAGTTTGTAAATGTAAGCTACTCAGAGTCACTGGGAGTTGGGTGATCTATAAATTGAATAGATAGTACAGTGGATGGATGGATGGATGGATGGATGGAGAGAGATAGATAGATAAATAGATAGATAGATAGAGATAGACATAGATAGATAGATAGATAGATAGATAGATAGATGATAGATAGAGATAGATAGATAGATATAGATAGATAGATAGATAGACATAGATAGATGATAGTTAGAGATAAACACAGACATAGATAAACATAGATGATAGATATAGATATACATAGATAGATGAGAAATGACAGATAGATAGATAGATAGATAGATAGATAGATAGATAGATAGACAGACATAGCTAGCTAGCTAGCTGATAATTAGATGATAGACACAGATAGACATAGATGATAGATAGATGATAGAAAGATAGATAGATATGGATGGATGGATGGATGGATGGATGGATGGATGGATGGATGGATGGATGGGGTGGATGGGGTGAAAGCAGAAAAGGAATTGCTGTTACCTTGATGTAGGTTTTCACTGACCGGGACAGGACAATCTCAAAGCCATAAGACATGTTTCCAGTTGACACTTGTGCCGAAGTGAGCAGTTGATTGTATTCTGCAGGCTTTCGGTAAAAGGAAGGGTTAAAACGTCTTGGGCTGTTTCCTAAAAAAAAGTAGGGGGAGTGAAAGTCAGCAGATTGGTGAGGAAAAAAAGCTAGGCCGATGATAAACCAGGATTCTCATCTTTGCTTGCCTTCCAGTTTTAATCTCAGGTTTTAATCTCATATCCAATGTTTGAGCTGTGTTGAAAAACCTGGAAAACTGGCCCTTAATTGTTCCTCTTGGGAATTAGACTTTGCTCTAAAACCATGAGGACTAGAATCTTTTGAGGCAGATGGAATTGCTCAGGAAAGGAGCACGAACACTGCCTAAAGCCCATTCCAGGTTAATTCCTTGCAACTTCTGCAGATGGAGCTGAAAAAAAAATGGCTCAAAACTTGGGAGACTAGCAAACTGTTGACTAGAAACATATTGAGCTGAGGAAACCAATATTTTGAGTTTTTCTAAGATTACTTCCTGGATCAATGGGTTTTCGGAATGGGTTGTTTGGGATTCAACGCACTGGAGAAATCCAGCTATTATCTTGGCAAGGAGAGAAAACCAGGCTGTCCCATCAAGCCATACATTGGTTTATATGTCTGCCCTATGCAATGTTAAATAAACACAGCAATTCATTCGCTTACAAGACTCTTAGAGTTTAGCCCGTTGTGTGAACGCAGCCAAAAAAACATGCTTGTTATATTTTGCAAACATGAAGGTTTATGGAGGTATATTGCAAGCGTCTGCCATCTGGTGGCTGAGGTTGGCTATTGCACGGGTTCATTCAAAATCCTGTGCGGATGACGGTAAATATGCTGCCATCTGGTGGCTGAGACTTGCCATTGCAATTGTCTTGGAAAGGGCTTAATTCTAAAAGAGGAGAAAAGGCAGAAAAAGAACAGTTCTGCCCTCTGCTGGCTCCTTTTGATCATTGCATCAGCTCTGGGAAGTGGATGGCGCTTGTTTTAAAAGGCTGGGCAATGCTGCCCTCTGGCGTTTGAGTCTCAGCATTGCACCCATGAGAAAATGTTTGAATTCAAGTTTTAGGGCGAGAAAGAGAGATTAGGATGTAAGTCTCCTTCTCTTCCTACCTAGGAAGGCAAAATAAAAAATAAAATAAATAATTATAATAAATAAATAAATAATAAAAACAGTCCCGCTCCAAAACAGGCAAAAACACCAGGAAAAAAAGGCCCACCAAAATAATCTGGACTAGCCAAGGGATAAAAGTTGATTCAGTTTGACCCTTGCATTTCTTAAGGGCCCAAATGCTGCCCTCTGGTGGCTGAGGTGTGCCCCTGCAGGTCTATAAATAAACCTAATAATTTTTAATTATTCCAAAAGGCACAATAGATTCACTGGGTCAGCTAAGGTAACTGGATTGACTCATTTTACCAACCTTAGCCAGAGTTATTATCCCTTACATTTTTGTAAGCTTCGAATCGTGGTTAATATTGACTTTTCTGCTGCTGGGGCTTTGCAGATGGAAACTAACCCCCCAAAACCAGATTCACACTGACGTTTACCCACATCAGTGAAGGGCTGAAGTGATTTTTATATGACTCCTGTTACCCTCCTGATCATAATCTCAGTAAACTAACTCTAGTTAGTTTATGGTCCCACATTTTGGCTGGTTCAGGAACCAAATAAGTGTATCTAAGCATGTTTCATGCAGCCAACATATCTGGATCCAGGTTTCCCAAAGTGGGGCACAGCCAGGTGTATAGACTTCAACTCCCAGAATTCCACAGGCAGTAGGAGCACTGCTGAGAATTCTGGGAGTTGTAGTCCATCTACCCAAGATGAGAGGACATTAATCTGGATGCAACCCTGACACTTCAATGCCTCAGTTTCCAAATTTGATTTGGATCTGGTTTTCTCAGGTGGACTCACCTGACTGGTAAAAACACGATTCCCGGAAGAAAATATGGCCCTGCGGCCGTAGCCACAGCAGCATCTTCTGGACCAAAGCATTTAGCTCGGTGTCCGACAGGTACATGAACAGCCAGTTAGAGAAAATGAGGTCAAAACTAAAATTTGGAGGACAAATAAATCATCAGAAAAATGCAGATTCTTGCTGGAATTTCAAATTTGCATTTTATATTCCGTAAATTTGAAATCAGAAAGCATAAGCAACTGGGACGTTCTAGTCCTACCTTAGTATGAAAGCCAGCTGAGTGAAGTTCTAGTTCCACCAGAGACCTAAAAAGCCAGCTGGGTGACTTTGGGCCAATCACCAGGAGATGGTGAGTTCTAGTCCTACCTCATATAATAAAAGCCAGTTGGGTAACTGTAGGCTGATCATCAGGAGGCTGTGAGTTCTAGTCCCGCCTTAAGTATGAAAGCCAGCTGGGTGCCTTTGTCCCTCTCTCTCTGTCTCAGCCCAGCCCACCTCACAGGGTTTGTGTTGTGGAGAAAAATAAGAGGAGCAAGGTGTGTTGGAGATGTTCACCACCTTGAGTTATTTGTAAAAATAATAAAGGGGAGATGCAAATAAAGAAATAAATAAACTTCTGCAATGGTGTGTGTGTGGGGGGTCATGTCTGCATTTCCTAGCAAGGCCTGCCTGGATAAAATTGGGATCTTGCATTTTGAAACCTCTGTTTTCAACACATCAATAAGGTGTTTGCCCTTAAATATACAGTATCTCAATTCTCATGCATCACATTCTAGATTCTGCTTGCATTTTGCCTAATAAGTTGCTTTAAACTGTTTTTTTTCTTGTTTCTATAGCTGCGTGAAATCTCTATCTGGCATTTGTTTGAAAAAAGAGACATTTAATCGGCTTTTGCTTTTAGGACGAACGCCTCTCCGATTTCTTTCTTTTCTTTTCTTTTTTACGTTTCAGATGGTCAATTCTAAAATCTTTCACTGGACAAAGTGACAAAGGTGAATCAGCTTTGAAATTGATCTCATAAACGTGCAAGTTGATTCGCACCTCTGGCTTGGAAATTCCAAATTGGTGACATCGGCCTGCAAAAACGTGATGTTGGTTCGGTGGCTGTTTCCTTGCCGATTCCGGGTCAGGAAGCTATCCATAAAATCCACTGCGGTAACGTGACTGGCTAATTCTGCTAAAGATCCAGTGAATCGGCTGAAAAAGACAGAAGGGAGGAATTATATGCAATTTTATCACAAAGCAATACAGGTAATCCTCAACTTTGGACCAAAATTTCCGTTGCTAAGCAAGACCATTGTTAAGCAAATTTTACGCCCTTTCTTGCTACGGCTGTTAAGCCAGTCACTGCAGTTGTGAATTTAGTCCCACGGTCGTTAAATGAATCTAGCTTCCCCATGGTCACAAAAGGGGATCACGTGATTCCCCCCCCTGGGGACACTGCGCAACCATCGTAAATATTGCTAAGCACCCCAATTTTGACCATGGGGGATGCTGCAACAATCCTAAGTGTGAAAAAGAGTCAAAAGTTACGGAGCCCAAACTTTTTGTTGCTAAGTGAAACATTTGTTCAGTGAATTTTGCCCCATTTTACGACTTGATTGGTGGATAAAAACCCCAAATCCAGTCTAAATGTCTGGCTGATTATGCAATCAACCACAATAAGTTCAATATTCTTCCTGACCTCGCCATCACTCACCCTATCCCGGCTCCCAGTTCTAACACCTCCTGTCCTTCCAGGAAAGGCAGCAGACTGAGTATCTCAGGTGTATCTTCCAGAGTGAGTTCCTGCGCTCCTGAATCCAGCATCATTTCTTCCAGCGAGGAATTTTGTGAGTGTTCCTCCCAGAACTGGAGCATCAGATGACGGGGAGAGGCCTCGGGTGCTGTTTGGAAAAAATAAAAAAAATTCAAAATGTAAAAACATAATTAGTTTTTAGGAATAGAATAGAATAGAAAATGAATAGACTAGACTAGACTAGACTAAACTAGACTAGACTAGATTAGACTAATATAGAATATGGAGAATGGAGAATGGAGAATGGGAATAGAATAGAATAGAATAGAATAGAATAGAATAGAATAGAATAGAATAGAATAGAATAGAATAGAATAGAATAGAATAGAATAGAATAGAAATACAGAATAGAATAGAATAGAATAAAAATACAGAATAGAATAGAATAGAAATACAGAATAGAATAGAATAGAATAGAAATACAGAACAGAATAGAAATACAGAATAGAGTAGAATAGAAATACAGAATAGAATAGAATAGAAACACAGAATAGAATAGAAATACAAAATAGAATAGAATAGAAATACAGAATAGAATAGAATAGAAATACAGAATAGAATACAATAGAATATGAACAGAACAAAATAGAACTTTATTGTCACTTTAAATGTACACTAATGAGCACACATTAAAATGAAATTTCATTGCATTCAGCTCTCGGAATATCTCCTGGGTCTTCTATGATTCTTTTCTGACACTTTCTCTCCTAGGGATGTTTCTGTTTCTTGAGGGTGAAAAATGACGGGGAATTTTGCAAAAGGGGAGAGATGACGGGGGGGGGGGGAGAAACGAGGTGAGATGGAGGCAAATCCAGGACCTGACCACAACAGAAAGAGGTGGCTGGTTTTAGAGAGGCAGATGGACCTTTGGACGCCAGCAAACGCTGGAATCCGAGGACCGAAGATCAGGGCCAGAGAAGGATTGTGATATGCAACAGATAAAGAATTGGGTGAAGGTCATGAAAAGCCCGTGAAGCGGAGGGAACGAGAATTCTGGCCAACATCTGGGAGCAGGCGAGGAAAGAGGTGCGGATCTGAACATTTGGCCACCTCTAAACATTACTGCAAAACCCTGCATGTCATACAGGCGGTCCTCGACTTACAACCGTTCATTTAGCGACCGTTGCAAAGTTACAACAGCACTGAAAAAAAGCAAGTTACGGCCATTTTCCACACTTAGGACCATGGCAGCCTCCCCGGGGGGGGGTCACGTGATCCAAATTCAGACGCTGGGCCACGGACTCCTATTTACGACGGTCGCAAAGTCCCAGGAAGGGGGGGTCAGGCGATCCCCTTTGGTGATTTTCTGACAGCAAAGTCCATGGGAAGGGGGGGAAGCCAGATTCACTTAACGACGGTGTGGCTGACTTAACGAGTGCAGTGATTCCCTAACAGCGGTGGCGAGAAAGATTTTAAAACGGGGGCAAAACTCCCTTAAGAAACGTCTCACGTAACCACGTAGCTTTTGAGCTCTATGGTTGTCGTAAGTCGAGTCGTCTGATTCCGTTCTGCCTCCCACCCACCGCGCTGCGTGCCCACATGCCAAAGTTCCCCAGGTCCCCACTCACTGTGTGCCATGGCTCAGCTGGGCTCCGTCTGAGCCTTCTCCAACCTGGCAACCTTTTTTAATCATTAATTGACACTTCACCGATATTCGTGGCCTGCTAGTTAGCGGATGAGATCAGCCTTCTTTGTCTGGCTGGCCCGCCTCTTGCCTTACCTGGAAAACGGGCCTGCAGTTGCCTCCGGCTAAGTTAACCCAGGCCCCTTAGGGGGAGTGACCCCCATCCGGTTCACTCTAACCACTCCTCCTGACAGTGAGAACAATTAACCCGTGGAACCACCTGCCTCCAGAAGCGGTGAATGCTCCAACACTGGAAGTTTTTAAGAAGAGACTGGACAGTCATTTGTCTGAAATGGTACTATAGGGTTTCCTTCCTGAGCAGGGGGTTGGACTAGATGACCTTCAAGGTCCCTTCCAACATCATCATCATCATCATCATCATCATCATCATCATCATCATCATTATTATTATTATTATTATTACTAGGAACACCTCCTTTTCCTGTCCCCCACATTGGGCAGGGGGAAAAAAAACACAGCTGGGGAGAAAGCCGGTCTTTTAAAAATAAACTTTATTAAGATCTGGACTACAAAAATAAAAAGGAAGAAGGACTCGTATTAGTATGACAAGAAAAGGGTTGTGGCTGAGGCCTGGAAAAATAAGGAAATAAAACGAAACAGACAGAGACGTAAATGTGTTTTTATCAATGAACTTTATCTGAAATGTTTTGAAACGCCTGCTCTTCATAGAAGAGGCTGCACCCAAGATAGATAGATATATATAAAAAGTAACAGCAGCCAAATAACACTAGTAAACGTTTAGTAGCGAAAACATTCAATCACAGCATAATATTTTACCTCTTCAAATATTGAGAGGCCGAAGAGGAATGTCAATATTTATTTAAAAATATTCCTTTTAAGTAGAGAAAGGAAAAATACACACAAAAAAAATTACTAGCAGCTAACTAGATACTATACCTTTAAATGTCCTGATTTGACCTAAGCTTATATAAACACATAAAATTACACCTCTTAATTATACTCTGCCCAGCACAAACTGGCTGACATTGTTATAAACGAGTTAAGAAAACATTTAAGAACGATCTCAGTTTTGCTCCGGAAAAAAACAACACAGCATGTATAATTTGTCTTTTCACACTGATAGCCTTGCCAGGTAGGCCAGTTTCAAACGGAGGCTGGAGGGTCATTGATCAGAAATGCTCTCAGCACAGCCTGCCCGGAGCAAGGGGTTGGACTAGATGCCCTCTATACTCTATATTCTTTTGTCCTAAGTAGAGCTAACTGTTTCAGTTAAACAGTTAAGCAGTAAACCACATGGTGACTGTGCACCTTGTTTGATCTGCGGTGCTATATATACGCAGAATTTCTAATGTTTCCAGCAAGCAAAATCAATGGAGGAAGCAGGACTTAACATCTGCATGACAAAAAAAGGCTACAAAATCAGGCGTGACTCATTTAACAACTGCAATGGAACATCCAATCCTGATCGTGGTCATAACTTGAGGAGTACCTGTATTTCTGCCTTGGATACACCATTGTCTTCCATTTCTTACGTACCTGCAACCCCAAAAGACTCAGGTGAACTGGAAATGTAGTTTTGAACAATGGAGGGGGGGGCAGGCACCCCCACCTGTTTCTCATCCATCATTCACAGTGCTGACCCAATGAAGCTGAAGAATAATTCAGAAATGCTTCTGTGTAGTGCAGCGGTTTTCAGTCGCTGCTTTGTCCGTGGAAAAGTCTTGGAAGTTGCTGTTGGGAAATGGACTTTTCCCATCGGAGGCAGGGGGCTGGTGTGGATGGAAAGGGGTCTTCCTCTTCTTCTTCCCAACAGGAATGGGTGGTGGTGGAGCAGCCGGTGGGGACAGGGGGCTGGCGGCCTCGGTGGAGACTTGCACCTTGATGTTACTCTTGAAATACTGGCGTCGGACGCTCACGTCTTCAAGGGACGGGCCACCCAGACAGGTGGGAGGAAGGCCAGGGGCTTGGGTGGGCTCTCTTCCACCCAACTGGGGCCTGTTTGGATCTTGGGGGTCTCTCAAGGGATGGGATGGAGAGAGTGCATCGGTGCCGGAAGTCGATCCCAAACAAGCCAGTTGGGTGGATCCCTTGGCATTGAGAGAGGAATTCCAGAATTCTGCAGGAGAATGAGAAGGAAAAAAACGTAGAATTATACGACTGGAAGGGACCTCAGAGGTCTTCTAGTCCAACCCCCAAGACAGGAAATCCTATACCATTTCAGACAAATGGCTGTCTAATTTCTTAAAAGTCTCCAGTGATGGAACACCCACAACTTCCGGAAGCAAGCTGTTCCACTGGTTAATTGTTCTCACTATTAGGAAATTTCTCCTTAGTTCTAGGTTGCTTCTCTCCTTGATTGGTTCCCCTCCGTTGTTTCTTGTCCTACCTTCAGGGTCTTTGGAGAATAAGTTGACCCCTCTTCTTTGTCGCAGCCCCTCAAATATTGAAAGATGGCTGTCATATCACTCCTAATCCTTCTCATTAGACTGGACATACCTAGTTCCTTCAACTATTCATCATATGTTTTACTCTCCAGTATCCATTATCATCTTTATTGCTCTTCTCTGCGCCCTTCCTAAGATCTCAACATCTTTTTTGTATAGTGGTGACGAGAACTGGACACAATATTCCTAGTGTGGCCTTAGAGTGTAAAGCAGTACTATCCTAACTCCAGGCTTCTGAGCCCAGAGACTCAAAGATCCACAGGCCCAGATAAGAATAGAATAGAGTAGAGTAGATATTGGAATAGAATAGAATAGAAATACAGAATAGAATAGAATGGAATGGAATGGAATAGAATAGAATAGAATAGAATAGAATAGAATAGAACAGAACAGAATAGAATAGAATAGAATAGAATAGAATAGAATAGAATAGAAATACAGAATAGATAGAATAGAATAGAAATATAGAATAGAATAGAATAGAATAGAGTAGAGTAGAGTAGAGTAGAATAGAGTAGATATTGGAATAGAATAGAATAGAATAGAAATACAGAATAGAATAGAATGGAATGGAATGGAATAGAATAGAATAGAATAGAAATACAGAATAGAATAGAATAGAATAGAAATACAGAATAGATAGAATAGAATAGAAATATAGAATAGAATAGAATAGAAATATAGAATAGAATAGAATAGAGTAGAGTAGAGTAGAGTAGAATAGAGTAGATATTGGAATAGAATAGAATAGAAATACAGAATAGAATAGAATGGAATGGAATAGAATAGAATAGAATAGAAATACAGAATAGAATAGAAATACAGAATAGAATAGAAATACAGAATAGATAGAATAGAATAGAAATACAGAATAGAGTAGAAATATAGAATAGAATAGAATAGAAATATAGAATAGAATAGAATAGGGTAGAGTAGAGTAGAGTAGAATAGAGTAGATATTGGAATAGAATAGAATAGAATAGAGAATTAGAATTAGAATAGAATAGAATAGAATAGAATAGAATAGAATAGAATAGAATAGAATAGAATAGAATAGAGCTGGAAGGGGCCTTGGAGGTCTTCTAGTCCAGCCCCCTGCTCAAGCAGGAGGACCTAGACCATCTCAAGGCCTAGGTGTGTTTATTGGGGAAGCATCAAAGATGATTGTGGTAAAAATTTTACCTAGGCCCAGGTGAGCAATGGCTTCCAGCTCCTGGCAGGTTGAAGCCTCCCAAATAGGCTGCGGGAGACGTAGAGAAAGAGGCAGGACATCCCTTAAGAGAGGGGAAAAAGAGAACCTCATCAGAGTTTTCCCAGATTTGTTAAGCGAATCACAGGTCACTAAGCAAATCCGGCTTGCCTCATTGCTTGTCGGAAGCTGGTTTCTTTCTTCTTTCTCTCTCTCCCTCCCTCCCCCCTCCCTCTTTCTTTCCTTCCTTCCTTCTCTCACTTTCTTCTTTCTTTCTCTCTCCCTCCCTTCCTTCCTTTCTTTCTCTTTCTTCTTTCTCTTTCTCTCTTTCTCTCCCCCTCCTTTTCTTTCTTTCTTTCTTTCTTTCTTTCCTTCCTTCCTTCCTTCCTTCTTTTTTTCTTTCTTTTTCTTTCTTTCTTTCTTTCTTTTTCTTTCTTTCTTTCTTTCTTTCTTTCCTTCCTTCCTTCCTTCTTTCTTTCTTTCTTTCCTTCCTTCCTTCTTTCTTTCTTTCTTTCTTTCTCTTTCTTTCTTTCTTTTTCTTTTTCTTTCTTTCTTTCTTTCTTTCCTTCCTTCCTTCCTTCCTTCCTTCCTTCCTTCCTTCTTTTTTTCTTTCTTTTTCTTTCTTTCTTTCTTTTTCTTTCTCTTTCTTTCTTTCTTTCTTTCTTTCCTTCCTTCCTTCTTTCTTTCTTTCTTTCCTTCCTTCCTTCTTTCTTTCTCTTTCTTTCTCTTTCTTTCTTTCTTTTTCTTTTTCTTTCTTTCTTTCTTTCCTTCCTTCCTTCTTTCTTTCTCTTTCTTTCTCTTTCTTTCTTTCTTTCTTTCTTTCTTTCTTTCTTTCTTTCTTTCTTTCTTTCTTTCTTTCTTTCTTTCTTTCTTTCTTTCAAAAATTACAAATTCAAATGAACAGGAACGATAGGCCTGTTAGTGCAGTTACACACGCCCCTTAGTTATGGGGTGAGGTCCACAGAAATTATGTTGGCATTAAAACTGTGACAGTTTGTAGCTGAGACAACTGAATCGGATAAGACATTCCAGACTTCGACAGCTCTGTTACAAAGATTAATTTTTTTAACCATCAAGTTTAAAGCGGTTTACATTAAGTTTAAAGCGGCTGTTCGCAGGCGTGACATTATGATTAAAATGTTTAAAAACCATTTACAGGTAAGATGGTACTCTGTACAATTTTGTATGCGTTCACTAACTTGGTTAGTGACCTGACCCATTTTCTGGATACGGTTGATACCTTCAAACCGCCCCCCCCCCAAAGATTTTGTTAAAATCACTTACGGAGCTGAGCAGTAAAAACCAACGAGATGAAGAAGCGTGGGAAAACTCCGATCGGATCCCTCCAGTGTAATAGCTAGAAAAAAAATTAAAAAAATATTAAAGAGGATATTAAAATATTAAGAGGAGGAAAGCGCCTTCTCATCTTCTCAACAGAGTTGGGATGAATTTCCATCTGAAAATCTGTGGCAAAAAAAAAATAAAGCAGAATAAAGGCACTCCTTGACTTACAACAGTTCATTTCGTGACTGTTTGAAGTTACAACGGCACTAAGAAAAGTGACTTATGATCGTTTTTCACACTAGCGACCGTTGCAGCCTCCCCTGTGGTCACGTGATCAAAATTCCAGTGCTCAGACTCATATTTATGACGGTCGCCGCGTCCCGGGATCATGTGATCTCCTTTTGCGAGCTTCTGATAAGCAAAGTCCATGGGGAAGTCGAATTCACTTAACAACCGTTACTAACTTAAAAACTGCAGTGATTCGCTTAGCAACTGTGGCGAGAAAGGTCGTCAAATGGGGCAAAATTCACTTCACGATTGTCTCGCTTTGCAACGGAAATTTCCGGCTCACTTCTGGTCGTAAGTCGAGGATTACCTGTACTTGGAAGGAAAACTGACTTTCCAAAATTGACTTTGCTTGTCAAAAGGTTGCACTGCGACCGTCATAAATATGAGTCAGTTGCCAAGCGCCGGAATTTGGATCGCGTGACCCTGGGGAGGCTGTGTGAAAATCGGTCCTCAGTCCCTTTTTTCATTGGCCTTGGAACTTCAAACGGCCACTAAACAAATGATTATAAATCGAGGACTATCTGTATACAATGTCCAGCGCAGGAAAAATACAGAGAATCTATGTCTTTTGTTTAAATCGTGTGAGTTTTGCAGCGATTCTCAATCGTGGGAATCTCCTACTTTCTTCGAAAATGCCAGCCTGCTCTTACCTGCCCGTTCCTGGTGTAAACGGTAAGTCGTCACAAAAGCAGGCGAGGAGTCATTCAAAAGACGGAGACAAAGAACTTGGCACTGGCGGGTGTTGGACCTTCGCACCAGAAATGTCTGCGGAAACAAGACATTGGGTGATGCTACAGACAAAGCAAGAGAAGGGGAATTCTCACTCCTCTTAGGTCCTAACCCCGGTCCTTACTCCTCCTAGGTCTTCCTAACCCCGGTTCTTACTCCTCCTAGGTCCAAACCCTGGTCCTTACTCCCCCTAGGTCCTAACCCCGGTCCTTACTCCTCCTAGGTCCTAACCCCGGTCCTTACTCCCCCTAGGTCCAAACCCCGGTCCTTACTCCCCCTAGGTCCTAACCCCGGTCCTTACTCCTCCTAGGTCCTAACCCCGGTCTTTACTCCTCCTAGGTCCTAACCCCGGTCCTTACTCCCCCTAGGTCCTAACCCCGGTCTTTACTCCTCCTAGGTCCTAACCCCGGTCCTTACTCCCCCTAGGTCCTAACCCCGGTCCTTATGCGTCCTAGGTCCTAACCCCGGTCCTTACCCCAGCCGGTTCCCGTTGCAAGATGTGGAGGGCTGTGGCCGAATTGATATCCAGCTGCAGCCAAACGGGCTGGGTGAGCCGCAGTCGTCCCACCAGGCTGATGTTGCGGGGCAAAGCTGCAGCCCCTCCCCGGGGGTTGGCATAGGGCTCAGGATAATCATAGGTGGGGATGGAGGTCATCCTGGTCAGGAGATGAAGGATGGGGCTTCTCTAACTCTTTGGAGGAGCTGAAAAGGAGGCAAAGAATCAAAAAGAAATCAGGAGCCCCATCGGTCACCATGGATGGAACAACAATAGTAAGAGCATAAGACAGGGCTCTTCAAAGTTGGCCCTTTTATGACTTGTGGACTTCAACTCGCAGAATTCCTCAACCAGGCATACTACATCCAGTTCTGGTCATCACGATATAAAAAAAGATGTTGAGACTCTAGAAAGAGGGCAGAGAAGAGCAACAAAGACGATCAGGGGACTGGAGGCTAAAACATATAAAGAACGGTTGCTGGAATTGGGTATGTCCAGTTTAATGAAGAGAAGGACCAGGGGGGTCATGATAGCAGTCTTCCAATCTCTCAGGGGCTGCCCCAAAGAAGAGGGAGTCAAGCTATTCTCCAAAGCGCCTGAAGGCAAGACAAGAAGCAATGGATGGAAACTAATCAAGGAGAGAAGCAACCTAGAACTAAGGAGAAATTTCCTGACAATGCAAACAATTAACCAGTGGAACAACCTGCCTCCAGAAGCGGTGAATGCTCCAACACTGGAAGTTTTTAAGAAGGGACTGGACAGCCAATTGTCTCAAATGGTGCAGGGTCTCCTGCCTGAGCAGGGGGTCGGACTAGATGACCTCCAAGGTCGCTTCCAACTTTATTATTCTGTATTCCTGCTCTCTGGTTAGGAAAAGCCAGCCTTAGGGTAACAAGACATCTTGCGAGCAAAAAAACAAAAACAAAACAGAAGCTTCTTTTTCAATTTTCCCTCAAGAAAGCCACGCTAAAAGGGGAATAGCATTAAGTCCTTTTCTGAAAATCAGAGCCAAAAGCTTTTGCTATCTTCGGTGGAGTCACAACTAGTGTGTGATGGGGGGGGGGGGGAGTTAAGCATTGGCAGTACCAACTTTGAGCTGTTGCAAAACACAGCGGGGGCGAGAAGCTGTGAGTCAGCGCCATGGCAGGGGTCCACGTGGAACAGCAATCTGGAAAAAGAAAAAAAAAAAAAACGAGAGAGGGAGGGGGGGAAAAAACCCAGAAAGAAAATATTTTAAAAGAATTGCAAAATTTGGGGTCCTGTCTGCCCCCAAAGGGAGAAATTCATTTAGGGAAATTTTTTTTTGGGGGGGGAGCGAGGTTCTGTGCATCTCCCGCAGAGCATCAAATATTATCGGAAAGATTAATGACTGGAATGGGGTTTTTTTTTCGCCTCTTGCAAAAAAAAATAATAATCTCAATTTAGATTGGAGGCTGTACTGCACAGAGATTCGCCCACGTTTTGCTGAAGCTTTGGGCATCTGCCCTGAAGGCAGAACTATTTCTGTAGGAAATGCACCACCACCCCTTTCCAGGAACAGCACGTATTTCGTTTCTTTATATTTATTAATTTGTACCCTGTCTTTATTACTTGTACAAATAATTCAAGGTGGAGAACACATCCAATACATCTTTCTCCTCTTTTATTTTTTTCCCCACAACAATAACCCTGTGAGGTAGGTGGGGCAAAAAGGCCAGGTGGTGCAAAGAAAGAAAACAAAACCTAATCCTATTTGCCCGTTCACCCCACCCCTGCATTCCTAATCCCAGCCGGGTGTGTCCAGGTGAGGGTGTGGATGATGATGGAAAGAATGCTAGGGAGGAGAGCATCCAGAAGCAACAACTTGCCTGCAGAGGTTGCGAATGCTCCAACAGTGGAGGTTTTTAAGAAATGATTGGACAACCATTTGTCTGAAATGGAATAGGGTTTCCTGCCTGAGCAGGGGGTTGGACTAGATGACCTCCAAGGTCCCTTCCAACTCCTATTCTATTCTATTCTATTCTATTCTATCCTGTAATTCTATTCTATTGTATTCTATTGTATTCTATTGTATTCTATTCTATTCTATCCCGTACTTCTATTCTATAATTCTATTCTATCCCGTAATTCTATTCTATTCTATTCTATTCTACTCTACTCTATTCTATTCTAACCCGTAATCTATTCTATCCTGTAATTCTATTCTATCCCATAATTCTATTCTATTCTATTCTATTCCATTCTATTATTCTATTCTATTCTATTCTATTCTATTCTATTCTATTCTATTCTATTCTATTCTATCCTGTAATTCTATTCTATTCCATAATTCTATTGTATTGTATTGTATTGTATTGTATTGTATTCTATTCTATCCCGTACTTCTATTCTATAATTCTATTCTATCCGGTAATTCTATTCTATTCTATTCTACTCTACTCTATTCTATTCTAACCCGTAATTCTATTCTATCCTGTAATTCTATTCTATCCCGTAATTCTATTCTATTCTATTCTATTCTATTCTATTCTATTCTATTCTATTCTATTCTATTCTATTCTATTCTACTCTACTCTATTCTAACCCGTAATTCTATTCTATCCCGTAATTCTATTCTATTCTATTCTACTCTACTCTATTCTAACCCGTAATTCTATTCTATCCCGTAATTCTATTCTATTCCATAATTCTATTCTATTCTATTCTATTGTATTCTATTCTAACCTGTAATTCTATTCTAACCTGTAATTCTATTCTATCCTGTAATTCTATTCTATTCCATAATTCTATTCTATTGTATTCTATTGTATTGTATTCTATTCTATTCTGTCCCGTAATTCTATTCTATTCTAATCTGTAATTCTATTCTATCCCGTAATTCTATTCTATTCTATTCTATTCTATTCTATTCTATTCTATTCTATTCCCCACCCCCCTTGAGTGGATTAGTTTAGCTGGCTCCAGAGGAGGGGGGAGTAGCATGGGCAGGGATATTGCAATCTCTAAGGGGGAAATCTTCACGTGCAAAACACACGTGGGAAAACGGCGAATCGCTTCTGCTCCACGTTGCCCGGTAAGAAACTGGAGAGGTGGGTGTGTGTGTGTGTGGCAGATCTCCAGCACGAAGTAAAAATGCCCCCTCCCCGGTTAACAATGACTTCCCCCCTCCCCGGGGGTGCCGGCTTCGCTTGCCCCCCCAGCAGGAGACACCCCCCCCCCAACCTCTCTGTTCCCTGAATCTTAAGCAAACATCACTCAAGTCAGGAAGAGGAAACAAAAAACAAAAAACTCCCAAATCAAGCCAGCTTCTCTCTCCCCTTCCCCCCTCCTCTTTTTTCAAAAGCCCCCCCCAAAGTTAAAAATACCCCCCCCTCCCTTGCCACTCATATCACCCTAATAATCCTTTGCACAGCCTCCCTTTTCTAATTCCTGGAACCTGGATTCAGAAATTATCTATCTATCTATCTATCTATCTATCTATCTATCTATCTATCTATCTATCTATCTATCTATCTATCTTGTAGCTCTAACCTTTGAACCATCCTGCCCTCTTCTCCCAAACCCAGGGGTTCCCAGCAGACAACCCCAATTGGGGAACTCAGGACCCTTCTCTCGTGGCTCTAACCTTTGAGCCATCCTGCCCTCGTCTCCCGCCCCCCCCCCAGGGGTTCCCAGGACAGCAGGCACCCCAACTGGGGAACTGGCCAGCAAAAAAAGAAAAGAGATTTATAAACTAAAAAAAAAGGGAGAGTTGTAAATTTGCCGCCAGCTCAAACCTTCTCAAGGGCTGCTCCTTCTCCAGAATGGTCTCCCGTCTCTAGTCCATGTGATTTTCCCTGTCGCACACCCAGCGAGGCAAAGAAAGTTGTCGGCACGCACACAAGTCTGGGCTGCCTTCCAGGGGGAGGGCGAGGCCTTCCAGGGGCAGGCAGCTGGCAGCCGGGAGAAGAAGAAGAGGTGGGTGGCATCTTGGGATCTGCCCGCCCCCATTTTTTGAAAAAAATTAAATTAAATTTTTATTCCAATTACCTAAAGGAGTTGAGCAGCCTCACCCTGGCATACACAGGCTGCAAGCGTCTGCAAAGGAAAACTGTCCAGGAAGTGCTTTGGAAGTAGGTGTGGGTCAACTTTTTAAGCTTCCTCGTTTGTGGCAGGGAGTCCCCTAAGCCCAGGGTTTCCCAACTTCAGCCACTTTAGGCTGGGTGGACTTCAACCCCCAGAATGCCCAAGCCGACATGCAGAGTTCTATCCTTGATAGTTGCTATTAGGGGATTCTGGGAGTTGAAGTCCACCCACCTTAAAGGTGGCTGGCTGGGGAATTCTGGGAGTTGAAGTCCCCTCCCCCTTAAAGCATGCTTGCTGGGGGGATTCTGGGAGTTGAAGTCCACCTTCTTAAAGGATGCTGGCTGGGAAGTTCTGGGAATTGAAATCCACTCATTTTAAAGCATGCTTGCTGGGGGGATTCTGGGCGTTGAAGTCCCCTCCCCCTTAAAGCATGCTTGCGGGGGGATTCTGGGAGTTGAAGTCCACCCATATTAAAGCCTGCTTGCTAGGGAATTCTGGGAGTTGTTAGAAGTCCACAGCTCGCGAAGTTGCCCAAGTTGAGAAATGCTGGCTCAAGCCACCAGTTTATAAACTAAGTAAGCACTTTTGGCAGCCATTTTGTGAGAACGCCCTCCATTTGGCTTGCAATGTCCACCGTTCTTCCCAGTTATATTCAAAGCTACAGCAAACTGGAGCTTATCGGAATAGTGTATTCCGATAAGCTCCAGTTTGGGTTGACTTGCTTTCTTTAGAAGCAGACCAAAAACAGGATTAAAAGTGCAGTAATTCCAGATACGAACTGACTTGGAATGCCTGGGCATTTTGTGAAACACGGATTTCTAAGAAAAGGAAAACGCTTTTCCTAATTTTTCTGTGGAACACGTGTGTGTTTGTGTATATGTGTGGGTGTGTGTCCCGTGCATACCGATTGCCAGGTGCCCAAAACTGGATCGAGTGACCGTGTAAATGCGAGAGCCAGTCCTAAATCGCTTCTTTCAGCGTCGTCCTCACTTCAGCCACTAAACCGGACGGTTGCAACTTGAGAATTGACCTGCACTGCATCATTCAAAAGCCCGGAATACAGAAAACAGTTCAACTTTGGTGCTTTTTTATTTGTGAATTTCGGCCAGGCGGGATTTCTTCCACCCCCCCTTTTTACCAGCTTCCCTTCTCCCTTTTTTTGGAAGGAGTTGCACGCTTAAAAACACAGGGAAGAAAAAAATCAACAACACAAAACTTCAGAATTGTCTACTGTCAATCTGGTACCAGAATGCTGGGTGGGGGGGGGGTCACCTGGTGTCACCGTTTTGCAGTCTCAGCCTGAACAGTCTTGCTTGGAGAAGCTGCTCGCAGCGGCACGGGTCTCTTCCGTTTCCAGGAAAAAATCCAGAGTGATTTTGGAAGAGGTGGGCTACCAAAGCCCCCCTGGCTCTCCCCCACACACACACCGCACAGGATGCTCTTAAGCCTTGTGGACGGAATATTTGCCTTTCTGGAGCTGGGAAACGTAGATCTTGGTTTTGCTAGCATCTTCCCGGCGCAGCCAAACTTCCCCGGTGCTGATGGAGGTGATCACTGCCCTGGGAGCGACACACAGTTGGGGGACGGAAGGAAGGAAGGAAGAAGCGAGGGGGGGGCTCCGTTTAGAGTTGGTTAAGGGCCCCATCAGCTCCGCACAATTCGGCCATTCGGGGCAGGGGTCCTCGGCTTACGACTGAGCCCAGGATTTCCGTGGCTAAGCGAGACCGTTGTTAGGTGAGCCTTGCCCCATTTTGCAAGCTTTCTTGCGGCTGTTGTTAAACGAATCACTGCAGTTTTTCAGTTACCTTTCTTTCCTTTTTCTCTTTCCCTTCCTTCCCTCTCTCCCTTCTTTTTCTTTCTCTTTTTTCTTTGTTTCCTTTCCTTCCCTCTTCTTTTTCTTTCTCTTTCTTTCTCTTCCTTCCTTCCCTACCTTTCTTTTCTTTCTTTCCCTTCCTTCCCTACCTTTTCTTTTCTTTCTTTCTTTCTTTCTTCCTCCTTTCTTTCTTTCTTCTTCCTTCCTTCCTTCCTTTCCCTTCCTTCCTTCTCCCTTCCTTCCTTTCTTTCTTTCTTTCCCTTCCTTTCTCTTTCTTTCTTTCTTTCTTTCTTTTTCTTTCTTTCTTTCTTTCTTTCTTTCTTTTTCTTTCTTTCTTCCTTCCTTCTTTCTTTCCCTTCCTTCCCTACCTCCTTCCTTCCTTCTTTCTTTCTTTCTTTCTTTCTTTCTTTCTTTCTTTCTTTCTTTCTTTCTTTCTTTCTTTCTTTCTTTCTTTCTTTCTCCTTCCTTCCTTTCTTCCTTTTCTTCCCTCCCCTTCCTTCCTTCTTTCCTTTCTCCCTCCCTCCCTCCCTTTTCTCTTTCTTTTTTTCCCCCCCTCCCTTCTTTTCTTTCTTTTATAGAGCCCCCCCAAACACAACAATTCTTACAATTCTAAACTTATTAAGTAATTAACTTTGTGCTCACCAGAAAGTCCCTACCACTGGAGGACACCAAGTAGTTAAGGGGAGGTGGGGTTTAAATGGGAGCCTGTTGTGCTCAGGGCTACGGGTTCAAGGCTGAACTTTGGGTTTGGGAAAAGGTCTAGAGACATTGGCCTCCTTTTCGATCCAGCCTGGTCAGACCAGACCTGAAAGATCTGCCGGTTCGTGGACAAACTCCCCCCCCATCCTTCGGATAGCTGAACCCCACCAGGCACAGCTGGCTGATCTCCCCACGGCTGCCACCCCCTCTTTGCAACTCACTGGACAGGGGTCTCGTCTCCCACTTGCAAGTAGAGGCTTTCCCCTTTGACGTAGACCTCGCCCTCGTAGTGCAGGTGGCCATCCTCACAGTGGGCGGCAAAGAGGGGCGGAGAAGACAGCTTGTCCGTCTTCAGCGGGCCTGGAGGAAGGAGAGGAGGGGGCAAAGAGGGGGCTCAGGGCTGTTTGGGGTTGGAGAAGGGACAAGATGGTCTGTCGGAATGACCGTAGGAAACGGGGGGGGGGGGATAGCCAAAGCCCAAGAGAAGAGTTCCATAAGAGGCAGGTGAGTCCTTGGGAGCAACGGGAGGGGTGGGGGGAACATCTTAAAGCATGCTGGCTGGGGGATTCTGGGAGTTGAAGTTCAGACATTTAAAGCAAGCTGGCTGGGGAACTCTGGGAGTTGAAGTCCACCCCTCTTAAAGCATGCTGGCTGGGGGATTCTGGGAGTTGAAGTCTCCCCCTCTTAAAGCATGCTGGCTGGGAAATTCTGGGAGTTGAAGTCCACCCCTCTTAAAGCAAGCTGGCTGGGGGATTCTGGGAGTTGAACTCCACCCATTTAAAGCATGCTGGCTGGGGAATTCTGGGAGTTGAAGCCCACCCTTCTTAAAGCATGCTGGCTGGGGGATTCTGGGAGCTGAAGTCCACTCCTCTTAAAGCATGCTGGCTGGGGGATTCTGGGAGTTTGAAGTCCACTCAGCTTAAAGTTCACAAGGTTGAGAAACGCTGGCTCTGAATAATGCACAAACCCATCGATTACAGCTTAGAATTAGTCATAAATCAGCCCCACAAACCCTGGTGGGAAAAAAATATCTCTGGCTAAGGGACCATTTTTCCAGGCATGCAGTGGTGCCCTACCATTCAGCCTACGTGGTTGGCTTTGCAAAGGGTTCTGGGACTTGTAGTTCAGCCTCAATCGGATGTACTGTTTCTCCTTCCGTGCTTCAAGGGTGCAGGGTGCAGGTCGGTGGGTCCTGCTTGCCTTTGAACAAGCCCTCCAGGCACTGGGCTCCAGGCCAAAATTTTAGGGAAATACAGAGGGGGATCCCAGTTATGCAAAGAAACCAAGTTACTTGCCTTCAAGCTTCCTCTTGGGGGGCGACACGGCAGCTTTTGCCTAGGGGGGGAGAATAAGACGACAAGGAATGAGAAGTCCTGCCCCACAGGACTGTTAATCTGCTCTACAACCTCCATGCTATGCTATAGCATAGTCCAGGGGTCTTCAAACGTGGCCCTTTGATGACGTGTGGGCTTCAACTCCCAGAATTCCTCAGCCAGGCTGAGGAATTCTGGGAGATGAAGTCCACACGTCATCAAAGAGCCACGTTGGAAGACCCCTGGCATAGACTCATCCCATCATAAGAAGGAAAAATGAAGAACAGAACCTGAGAAGCAATCAACTAATTGGCTTCTCTTGGAATCACAGGCTTGGACGGGACCTTGGAGGTCATCTATTCTAACCCAACCCCCTGCTCAAACAGGAGACCCTATGTTCTATATTCTATTCCATTCCGTTCATTTTGGAGGCGACTGTTAATATTTTCCCCATTGACGTTATGTGCTGGCAGGTGTGCCAGTGCAAATCCAGGGCCCTTTTGGTTCGGTCCTCCACAACGGTCCCAGTTTCTCGTGGCCGCTTGGGAAAATGCATTGCCCAGCCCTGTTCCAAAACTGCATTTCAAGCTTGCCTTCCTCCACGCTCCCCGTGCCCTCTGACCTTTTTGATGGCCGTCCAATCTTCCATAATGTCAATATCGTGCAGCATGTAGACGATGTACGGGCGTGGGAGGGAGGCGTTAAGGAGGAATCGGGGAATCAGACACCGCAAACCCCAACCAACCTGTGTTCGGATGGTTTGTTTTCTGTACTGTTTCTTTATTAGAAGTTTTTGATCTCACCTTTATTACTTTGTAAGTAACTCAACGAGGCTAATGTACTTAATACTCCTTCATCCTTCTATTTTCCCCACAATAAGAACCCTGTGCGCAAGGTTGGGCTGAGAAAGGAGGACTAGCCCAAAGTAACCCAGTTAGCTTTATATGCCTAAGGTGGGACTAGAACTCACCGTCTCCTGGTGATTGACCCAGTTAGCTTCCATGCCTAAGACAGGACTAGAACTCACCATCTCCTGATGATTAGCCCAAAGTCATCCAGTTAGCTTTACATGCCTATGGTGGGACTAGAACTCACCGTCTCCTGGTGATTGACCCAGTTAGCTTCCATGCCTAAGGCAGGACTAGAACCCACTGTCTCCTGGTGATTAGCACAACGTCCCCCAGCCAGATTTCATGCCTAAGGCAGGACTAGAACTCACAATCTTCTGGCAACTGACGAAAAAGTCACCCAGCTGGTTTTCATGGCTAAGATGGGACTAGAAGTTCCAGGCTCCCTGGTTTCTAGGCTAGCCCCTTAACCACTATACCAAGCTCCCTTTCGCAGAAGGACCAACAAAAGCTCCCTGACCAAGGGGACGCTTCAGGTTTAGAAAAGCGATATCGCACAAAAGGCGCACAAAAGGATATCAGACACCAACGGCGGTTTCTTCCTCTTGCTGGGCCAGAGGGAGTCCCACTCTTTGGAGCTGTGTTTGGGCCGAAGTTTGCCGTCCCACCACTCTAAGAAAGAGAGAGAGAGAGAGAGAAAAACAGACCTTCCAGGTAAAAGTAAAATTGCCAGTCAGGCCAGCAGTTCCAAGAAGTCTCCGCACCCACTTGCACCACTCAGGTGATCCTGAGGACACAGATGAACCTCCAAGTGGCCTCAATGGCTCTCTAAAAGAAGGCAAATGACCAGTTGTTTGTTTTTCTTTGTAGGCGTTTTGCTTCTCATCCAAGAAACTTCTTCAGCTCTGACTGGATGGTGGGGAGTGCAAGGATTTATACTCCTTGCAGACCGCTGGTCATTTGCTTCCTTTTAGAGAGTCGTTGAGGCCACTTGGAGGTTTATCTGTATCCTCAGGGTCATTTGAGTAGTGCAAAAATGGGAGTGGAACACAGTCGTTTTCAAGAAGAGGGGGTCACGCTATACCCCAAAGCACCAGAGGGAAGGACGAGAAACAATGGTTGGAAGCTGATCAAAGAGAGAAGCAACCTGGAATTAAGGAGAAACTTTCTGACAGTGAGGACAATTAACCAGTGGAACAGCTTGCCACCAGATATTGTGGGTGCTCCATCACTGGAGGCTTTTAAGAAGAGACTAGACAGTCACTTGTCTGAGATGGAATAGGTCCTTCTGCTTGAGCAGGGGGCTGGACTAGAAGACCTCCAAGGTCCCTTCTAGCTCTATTCTATTCAGCTAGGTTCATGGCTGTCCACACATTAAACTGCAGGCTCCGAAATCGAATTCTGCTCCTTTTTTGGGGGGGCTCAAGGGATTGCATTTGCAGGCAGGAGAGGGTAAGGAGAATCCACTGGCCAGGGGAACTGACCGGAAGTGAGGCCCACGCTGTGTCTGTCATCTTCCAAACGCTGGATGCGCTCCAGCAGACGCTCCTCAAGGCTGTCGAACAGCAGCAATTTCTCGCTCTAAAGAAGCAGACAGACCAGGGGTCTTCAAACTTGGCTCTTTTATGACTCGTGGACTTCAACTCCCAGAATTCCTGAGCCAGCATGGGAGAAATATGGGCCCTCCATGACTTGTGGACTTCAACTCCCAGAATTCCTGAGCCAGCGTGAGGGAAACTTTGGCCCCCTCATGACTCGTGGACTTCAACTCCCAGAATTCCTGAGCCAGCATGGCTCAGCTTGGAAACCTCTCCCTTTCCCCTCAGCATGGCTGGCTCAGGAATTATGGGAGTTGAAGTCCACGAGTCACAAAAGAACCAAGCTTTCCTACCTCTGAGATAGACAATATAGAAAATATCCGGCATCCTTTTTTTTCTTTGTGGCCAGGCTCAAAAGTAGACCAGGATGGATCCTACAACCGGCCAACACCCAAAGCCACCTTAACAAAACTCACTTAACAACAGAAAATTTGGGCTCAATTGTGGCTGTAAGTGGAGAACTACCTATATGTGGAATGGGGCTGCATTAATCAATGCCCCCTTGCCACTTTCTTGAGAATGGGGAGGGGGGTGATAAATGAAAAGTTTAGGGGGGAGTCTTCTAACCTCCAGATGTTGTTGAGCTCCTTGCAGTTCACACCCATATCGGTGCTTGATGACTTCCAGGCACAAACCTCTATATATCCCTGGGAGGAAAAAAAAAGTGCAAATATTTGGAGTCAGTGGAAAGCGAATTCGGGGTCTGGGGGGGGGAGCGGGTTGTTCCCTCCTCTGCAAATCCCACCCAAGCTTCTGCCTTATTCTTTATTAAAAGCCATGATTAAAGAGGGTTTTTCAAATACGGAAGCAAGTGGATAAAGAAAAGGGATGGATTATGGATGACGGTTGGTCAGGATCTCTTTTAAGAATGCTAGTCACTTCAAAGGGATCTTTATATGACTTGCCCAGATAGATGGCAACCCCTAGCAGATTGTGAATAAGCTTTTTTTTTTTAAAAGTGCATTAGGAAAAGAGACCACTAGGAAATTTTCAGGCTTGAAGACCTAGACTAAGAATCCGGGGGAAAATAACGGCAATGGGAAATATGGAAATTTTGGTGGTTGTGTTCAGTTCATTCAAAGCTCTCCCCATCTTGGCAGTTCCAAGGTCAGTCCCCGGCCTCAAATACACCCAGCCTCCACCCCACACGGCTTGTGGGCCACAAAGCTTTACCAGCCACTTCAATCTGGATCTGCATGTGATTCTGCAACACGGCCAGGGGGTTGAGGTATTCGGCGGCTTTTCCCGACATCACATCTTCCAACTTGGCCTTCACCTGATTCAGACGCTCCTTAAAAAGCCTGAAAAAGAGGCACCACTAATTCACCGGGAAGAAATAAATGGGAGCTAAAAACTAAAAAAAAAATGCATTTCTCTACACCAGGGGTAGGCAACCTTGGCTCTTTTATGACTCATGGACTTCAATTCCCAGAATTCCTGAGCCAGCATGGGGGAACTATGGCCCCTTCATGACTCATGGACTTCAACTCCCAGAATTCCCGAGCCAGCCATGCTGATGGGAAAGGGAGAGGTTCCCAAGCTGAGCCATACTGGCTCAGGAATTCTGGGAACTGAAGTCCACAAGTCATGAGGGGGCCAAAGTTTCCCTCATGCTGGCTCAGGAATTCTGGGAGTTGAAGTCCACAAGTCCTAAAAGAGCCAAGGTTGCCTTGCCCTGCCCTACTACACCTATGTTTCTCAACCTTGGCAACTTTCAGACGAGTGGACTACAACTCCCAGAATTCCCCAGCAATCCCACAGGCAGTCCTTGACTCGCAACCTTTCTTTTAGTGACCCTCGATTGTGGTCGTAAGTCAAGGACCACCTACCTATATTTACAATAATTGCAGCATCCTGGGGTCAGGTGATCACTCTTTGCAGCTTCCCAGCTATCTTTTGGCAGGTAAAGTCAAGGGGGGGAAACAAGATTTACTTAACCACCAATTGATTCATTTAACAACCACAGCGACTTGCTTAACAACTGGGCAAAAAGGTCATAATATTTGGCCTAACTCATTTAACAATGAGTTTAACAATGAAAATTCTGGCCTGAATTGTGATTGTATGTCAGGGACTCTCTTCCTCTGAAAAAGTTAAGTCACTTTTTTCAGCCTCTTTGTAATTCCGGACCATGGTTCAACAAATTGTCATTGAGTCAAGGACTCACTGGACACAAGCACATATTTAAAAACAAAAAAACCCAAACACCAGAAAACAGAAAGGAGAAAGAAAATAACCCACTTTTCTTTGATTTCCGAAAACTGCTTCTCCAGATCTAGCATTTCATCCACGCATTCTGCCCGGCGCCGTTCGTAGTCTTCATCGTTCATCTCTGGAAGTGGGGGCAAAATGGACAATTTGGATTCAATTCGAAAAGCAACCCACAAAATCCCAGGATAAAATGGGATTTATTTCAGGGCTTCTGAATTTCGGACCGTCTTGTCCAAAATTCTTGACCGACTGTGTTCTATTAGGCAGAATTTACTTTAGGACAGGCAAAATTAACTACGTTATAAAATGCAGAATCAACGGAAGCATGGAAGGAATGAAAGGTTATGATTTGCAGAATGAATTAAACCACGATCTGCAGAATTAAACCATAGCAGGCAGAATGAACTATGATGCACAGAATTGACTCTACCCTGACATGCACAACAGCATATGGCAGGTAAAATGGGTTTCCAACCCTGGCAACTTTTTAAGACCTGTGGACTTCAACTCCCAGAATGCCCCAGCCAGCATGAGGTTGAGAAACACCGCATTATACATTGGCTTGGGTTAATTGGTTTATACTCAAAAGCAGAGACATCACCCTGCCAACAAAAGTGTGTATAGTCAAGGTCATGGTTTTCCCAGTTGCAATGTATGGCTGTGAAAGCTGGACCATAAGAAAGGCTGAGCGCTAAAGAATGGAGGCCTTTGAACTCTGGTGCTGGAGAAGACTCCTGCGAGTCCCTTGGAGTGCAAGGCGTTCAAACCGGTCAGTCCTAGAAGAGATCAACCCCGACTGCTCTTTAGAAGGCCAGATCCTGAAGTTGAAACTCAAGGACTTTGGCCACCTAATGAGAAGGAAGGACTCACTGGAGAAGAGCCTGATGCTGGGAAAGATGGAGGGCAGAGAAGGAGGTGGCTGGATGGAGTCACTGAAGCAGCAGGCGTGAGTTTCAATGGACTCCAGAAGATGGTAGAGGACAGGAAGGCCTGGAGGAGCGTTGTCCATGGGGTCACGATGGGTCAGACACGACTTCACAACTAACAACAACCAAGTTCTCCATGGCTGGCTGGGGCATTCTGGGAGTCGACTTCACAACTAACAACAACAAAGTTCTCCATGGCTGGCTGGGGCATTGTGGGAGTTGAAGTCCACAGATCTTAAAGTTGACAAGGTTGGACACCCCTGCTGCAGGGGTAATCCAACCATTAAGTGTCACGTAAGACTCTGGGCTGCATTTTAGTAGCACGAAAACTCAATTTCCTCTCCTGAAGTTCACCTGAACTCTCCTCTTCGGATTCCGACTGGCTGGCACTGCGTTCATCCTCACTCTCTTCCTCGCCGTTCATTTCTGTGGCCGAATCGCCTTCCCCTTCCATCTCTTTAGGCAGAGGCTGAACAGGCATGGTGGTGGTGACCGATGTCAAGACACCCAACCTGAAAGAAAGGTGGACAATTTTACCATCTTTTTTTGCTGCTTTATTTATGTATTTACTTACTTACTTACTTAATGTCTATGGAGATTCTCAGTCATCCAGATCCTGGTTGTCCCAAAGATGTTTTTTTCACGAGGCAACTGGACATCCTTGTTTTTCTTTGAAGACGTTTCGCTTCTCATCCAAGAAGCTTCTTCAGCTCTGACTTCCCCACCATCCAGTCAGAGCTGAAGAAGCTTCTTAGATGAGAAGCGAAATGTCTTCAAAGGAAAAACAAGGAACTCCAGTTGCCTCATGAAAAAGCATCTTTCGGACTTACTTATTAAATGTATGCTGCCCATCTCGTTTCAAATGATTCTAGACAGCTTACATCATAATAAATATAAAAAAATACATTAAAACATTCATTAAGTCAGGGGTCTTCAAACTTGGCCCTTTGACGACTTGTGGACTTCAACTCCCAAAATTCCTCAGCCAGCTATGCTGAGTGCTGGGAGTTCAAGTCCACCCGTCTTAAAGTGACCACAGTTGAGAATACTGCTCTAGACCAGGGGTCTTCAAATTTGGCCCTTTTATGACTTGTGGACTTCAACTCCCAGAATTTGCCTGGCTGAGGAATTCTGGGAGTTGAAGTCCACAAGTCATAAAAGGGCCAAGTTTGAAGACCCCTGCATTAAGTGAATCCAGTTTCCCCCACTGTGTTTGCTTGTTGGAAGAAAAGCTGGGAAAATTGCAAATGGCGATGATGTGACCACGGGACACTGTGACCATCATTGAATGCATGATGTTTGTCAAGCACCCGAATCACAATCCCATGATCATGGGGATGTTGCAACGGCTGAAGTATGAGGACCTGTCAGGTCACTTTTTTCAAAGCCATTATTAACTAGCTAAAAAAATATACAATAAAAGAGCAACTGAGATGGTTAAAGGCCTGGAGACTAAAACATACGAAGAACGGCTGCAGGATTTGGGTTTGGCTAGTCTAGAGAAAAGAAGGACATGATAACAACATTCCAATATTTGAGGGGCTGCCACAAAGAAGAGGGGGTCAACCTATTTTCCCAAGCACCAGAAGGCAGGACAGGAAATAATGGATGGAAACTAATCAAGGAGAGAAGCAACCTGGAATTAAGGAGAAATTTCCTAACAGCGAGAACAATTAACCAGTGGGACAGCTTGCCACCAGAAGTTGTGGGTGCTCCATCACTGGAAGCTTTTAAGAAGAGACTGGACAGTCACTTGTCTGAAATGGTATAGAATCTCCTGCTTGAGCAGGGGTTAGACTACAAGACCTCCAAAATCCCTTCCAGCTCTATTCTGATTCTGAGCATTGATTTCTAAGCAATTGTTCCTTCTGGACATTTCAAATTTTAAATCAAGTACCTCCACTCAACTACAGTTAGTCCTCGACTTACAACAGTTCATTTAGTGACCATTCAAAGTTACAACAGCACTGAGAAAAGTGAGTTATGACTGTTTTTTACATTTACAATGGTTGCAGCGTCCCCCAATGGTCACATGATCAAAATTCAAACCCTTCTCAAATTGGTTCCTATTTATGACGGTCGCCGTGTCTCCTGGGGTCACGTGATCCCTTTTTGTGACCTTCTTATAAGCAAAATCGACGGGGAAGCTAGATTCACTTAACAACCGTGTCACTAACTTAACACCTGTAGTGATAATGACCATCATAAATATGAGCCAGTTGCCAAGCGGCTGAATGAAGATCACGTGACTATTGGCTGCAATGGTTGTAAGTGTGAAAAATGCTCATAATTCGCTTTTTCCGGGGCCGTAGTTAATTTTGAACAGTCACTAAATGAATTGTTGTAAGTCAAGGACTGTCAGGGGGTCATTTCACAACAACTGACAGTTTTGGGGGCTTGCAATAAGGATGGTCCTTTGAGGCTAAGGGCCTCTTTGAAACTCATGCCTTATGATGCCCCACACATGAGCTATAATTCCCATCATACCCAACCATGCTGATGGGAACTGTAGTCCCATGTATTTGGAGAGACCATCCCAGGTGTTCAGACTTGTTCACAAGTCTTCAGACCTCATTGACTGACCATCATCTACTCCCTAAAAAAAACCCTTCCATTTGTAAGACAACATTTTGCAAATGATATTGGCCAAAGGGTATTTTTAAATAGCTGGTTTACTGTTGTAGGTTTTAAGTTACCCCCTGATGCTTTTCAGTTGTCATGCTTGACTACTTTTTAAAACGACATTTACCATTGTTGTGGACTGCTCCATAAATAAGAGACTATACATGTTTAGGAATAAACATAAATATTGCACCCTCCATCCTCCCCCCCCCATAATGCAATGGACTGAACCATGTTCCCCTATTAATATGATGGGGGAACAGATTACCAATTCTTTGAGGAGGGGGGGAGAAGTTAAAAAGGAAAAGTCAAGAAATACGTTGAGGAACTTCCTCCCCCTACGATACGCCTTCAACAGGGAACGTAGCGAGCAGAAGCCAATCCTACGTAGAGGCGCACGTACGTTCATACAAAAGCACCGACACACAAATGTGTACCCCCCAACCCGGTTAGTGGTCTAATCCACAGTCGCCTCGCCGCTCGCCCAAATGGAATGGGCGGGACCAACAAACACCCAGAAAAAAGGGGGGTGCTGGGAAAGGCGTCTAGACCCCCTTCATTACCTGGGGGAGGAGCCGCGCAAAGCGTAGACGCCGCTCGGGTTCCCTTCCGCGACCGGAAGTGGCCCTCGCTCGGCCCCGCCCACTCTTCTTAACCAATCCGACCGGCTGTTCATGCCGGCCGTTGGAAGCGCGGCTACGTCTCTATGATCCCAGTGCTTAGAGCCACCTCTCTGTGGTTCTTTCGCACGGCGCTGTGGGAAGCCGGAAGCGGAAAGAGGCGCGTTTTCATAACAACAGAGAAAATAGAACCCTGGGAACGGAAGGAGGAAAAATAAATAGTAAAATGGGAAAGGAAAAACTGAAAAACTAAACAAAAAAAGGGATTCCCCTCCCATCCAAATCTTAAAATATGAGCCTTTTTGGAAAAGGACGAACTCCCAAATATCTGTGCAGGATTGCAATGGCTATAGAAGATGCTATCCTTTTTTTTAAATCCCCAAATAACAGTAGCATAAACTTGGAGGCTATACATGAAGTGACTGGAGACAGAAATCTAATAATAAAAGTAATTATAACTGGCAAAAGAAAGCAAAGATAGGATTAATAGTGATAGACAACATGGGTGCAATCCTGAAACTTCTGGAGCACCACTTAAACCATCACCATTGCCAAATTCATGATCAGTCAATTGCAAAAGGCAGCTTTGCTAGGAACAAATTACATCCTTTAATATTATTAAACAACAATATCTGCCTATCCCAGGTCCTTGGGAAGGGCTCAATAGATAGAGAAAAATCCCAAATCCAGTCAAAATATCTGACTATGTGATGAATCGATAAGAAAAAATTCCACACCCAGTCCAAACATCTGGCTTGACTATGCAACACAACATAATAATACATTGTGCAAGACGATTGCACAAACTGATTATAAATAAGGACATAACACAGTTGCTGACATGATTCACTGGAAGCTCTGAAAATACGGATTGGTAGACAATGTACAGGACCAGAGCCACCCAGATTTGAAATTGTTCACTTTAACAGGTGGTTTGTAATTTTAAGGTACAGAAATAAATTAAGCACTTCTCTTCCAGGACGTATGCAATCCTTCTCGTTGTGCAGAACAAGACACTGAGGTGACCAGTTGAAGAAGGAAGGTCAGGCACAAAACGGAACAATCTCGCTGCACAATGGTCTACATTTTACTATTTCATGTCTCAAAGAGTTCAAAACTGAAAGCTCTTTTCCATGTTCTCACACCATCCTTTCATAATCTTTGATCTTATTCTGTCACCCCATAGTAACAGTCAGAAACTGACTAACGCAGTGCAGAAATGAAATCAATGACACAGACTGTCTGTAGTAACTGAAAAATGACCCACAACTTGTACATACAATTATACTGCAAACAGGGTTTGTTCTCATCTTGTCTGTAGCTCCACTCCACGTCCAAAGTAGCTGAAGTTAAGCTCTGCAAAATTAAAGTGCATTTCAACATCTCCGTGACGAGTCTGGGTATTTGCTCTTCAGCTCCTGCTTGAACTGTCGAAAAAGGATCTTGTTGCGCTGGTTCTCAGCATCCTTTTGTGCATGGAACTCACCCACCACCTTAAATCCCTTATGCACCAAAAAGGCATTGCTCAGCACTGCAAAATGGTAACCGGCAATGTGGAGTTCGCAGGCCTGCCAGGAAAAGAGAAGAAACCAAGAGATTAATGAAGGTGTCTATCACCAGCATCTCCAGAGTCACCTTGTAAGGGAGATGGGCAGCATAAAAACAGATATGGATGATTGATAAAAGATAGACAGACAGACAGAAAGATAGACAGACAGATAGACAGATGATAGATGATGATAGACATATGATAGAGATAGATGATATAGATATATAAGATAGATGATAGAGACAGACAGACAGATATCTAGATAGATGATAGATCTCACACACCCAACCTTAAACAATAACCTTAGTACAAACATCCTGAGAAAATCTTGGGAATTTATAAATACTGATAGTCCTTGACTTACAACCATTCCTTTAATGACCGTTCAAAGTTACAACGGCACTTTAAAAGTGATTTACAACTGGCCCTCACTCTTAACAATGGCAGCAATTTGCTTAATGACCGTGGCAAATAAGCTCATAAAATCAGGCACAATTCACTTAACACCCGCCTTGCTTGGCAATGGGAGTTTAGTTGTAGTCGTAAGCTGAGGACTATCTGCATTGAATTCTCCCAGTTGTCCGGTCTTTCCCCTTGCTTGGTTACCTGACTGATCCGGTTAAAGCCGTACTGCTTGAAACGTTCATCGTACGGAGGCACTGACGTGGCACCCACATAGAAGGGCTCCCAAGGATCTCGCCATGCCACCTCGTAGGCCACACGCAGGGTGCCCCCCACGGGAAGGTTCAACCAATGGGAAAAGTTTGTGGGAGCCTGGCACCTGGGACACAATTCCTCGTAAAATGGTCGGATCTCCCCGACTTGATACAGCTGTACCAGTTCCGTCTTGCTGGCCGGAATCCGGCGCGTGTGACGGATCTCAAACGCCGGCACCACAAACACCCGCGGCTTCCCCTCGTCGGTGGCTTTAGGCAAGGCCAGGAAGTCTTCCCGCAGACCTTCGCTGGGCACCATATCCATGTCGACCACCAGCGCCCAGTGCCCACCGGCTGCCCCTCGGGCTATGTTGCGCAGAAGATTGTTGGGGTACGAAGCATTGGCAACATCCATGGCATAGTTACGCCGGCCGGCCCCTAGCTGTGCCAGCTTGGCAAAAACATCTCCGCAAGACTGGAGGCAGGCCAATTCCCCCTCGTCCTGGTCCGGCTCGGGGAAGGAAGCCATTTGGTTGGCAGGACACACCAGGTGCAGGCAAAGCCACTGCCGGAGAGGGGCACACAGGACGGCTAAGGCATACACCATGGCCGTGGCCTGGCGCACGTCGTCAGAGCCTGGCACAAAGAGGGCCAGCGAGACTGGTCCTCGCCAGCGCTCCACCAGCTGCTGAGCATGGTGAAGGTTGCCCAGGCTGGTGTGGGTGACCAGCACCACGTCCTGCCGGTCTTGGTCGTCCCAAGAGGCCCGCAGCATGTCTCGGTAGATGCGGTACTGCCCGCTAGCATCCAGGGTGCCTCCACTGGCCAGCACCGGCTTGAGCCTCTGCTTGTGCCCATTGCTTGGCAAGGCATGGCGAGTCTGGAAAAGTTGGACGTAGCGAGAGCGCTGTTCCTGTCCATGCAGCCCAGAGAGCAGGGCCAAATAAAGCAGTTGCAAGCCGGCCACCAGTCCCAGCGCCAGGATTAGCGCCTGGAAGCAGGAACAGGTCATGGAGGGACGGGGGTGGGGAGCAGACTAGGGCTCAAGCTTGGCCCATTGGCTCTCCCCGTGGCGCCCCTTCCTTCCCCTCTTTGCAAAAGAAAGCAAAGACACAAGCAGACCTTCCTGGTGCCAACCTCGCGCTAGCTGCGAGCTAAAAGGGGGGGGAGGGTGGAAGGCGGCGGGGGGGGCTTGCTAACGATGAGGCTCCCTCCAGCGCCCTCTGCTCAGCAGGAGGAGGCAGTGCAACAAGAAAAGCAGCCTTTGCAGCCCCCCCTCCCAAAAAAACCCCAAAACCCTCGCATCCCCTTTGCTTTTTGCAGCGCCCGCGGGCTCCCTGTTGCCTTTTGCGCGCCGGCTTTGCTTTGCGCGGTCTTTGCACGGCGGGCGGGCGCGCCTGGGAGGGAGGGAGTGGGTGGGCTTTGCTCACGTCCCCCCCCATTTGGTTTTTTGCATGGGGCGGGGAGAGACGCGAAAGAGGCTTTGCAACGGGAGTGTTGCAAGGATCGGAGTGGGAGGGGGGGCGAAAGCAGGAACAAATCCCCCCTCCGCAATTTTATTATTATTATTTTTGCAATGCAATTGGCAATTTTTTTTTTTTAAATCCCGGTTTGGAGGAAAGCAAGCATAGACCAGGTGGAGAACAAACCATGTTCTGTGAGACGAGGTGGCCGAGTGGTTAAGGCGATGGACTGCTAATCCATTGTGCTCTGCACGCGTGGGTTCGAATCCCACCCTCGTCGCTACCGTTTTGGGACGATCCGGGGATTCCCCCCCCAAAATGTGACTTTATATTCTGCATTGCAACCCCCCCAAAAAGGTTTAAAGCTGAGAGCGTGGAGAGCCCCCCCCCTTTCCATCCTTTGTAAGGGTGTTTCTCCAGAGACAAAATCCCTCTTTGGGGGGTGAATTCTTGGCTCTCCACCCACCCCAAAACTGATGGGAGCTGGAGACTTCCCATGTTTTAGAGAGGGGGGGCTCCGAAATTTAGGTGTGCTGTGATTGCAAAAACCATCATCCCCAACAGGCGGTGGAGCCTTTTGCAAGAAGAAAAAATCCCAGATCTGGAAAGCAGAGCTGCGGGGGTCCCCAATCCACGCCAGAAAATGTATTTTTTGGGAAAGCAAGCAAAACATGTTTTGTTTGGTTTTTGGTTCTGCCAAATTCTGCTAACTTCCAAATCCTCCAAATTGCATAAACCCCAAATATAGAATTCAGTGGCCAAACGCTGAACTGCCACAGAATTGCAATTGTAGGATCTCTTAAAACCATCCATGGGATAATACAGACAGTCCTCAATTTACGAATCGTTTGTTTGGCGGTTGTCCAAAGCTACAGCGGCACTTAAAAAAGTAGCTCGCAAATCGATCCTCACACTTAAGACCGTGGCAGCCTCCTCAGGGTCACCCAATTGAAATTTGGGCAGCTGCCGACTGACAAGTGTTTATGATGGTGGCAAGTCTTCTGATCATCATTTGCGACTTTCCTGGCCAGTTTCTGATAAGCAAAGTCAACCAAAGCACCAGAGGGAAGGATGAGAAACAATAGGGACATACAAAAAGGCGAGGCAGACAGTGATTCTATTCAGAAATCCATGGTTAACTACGACTTACGCAAGCCACTTTCCCAAGTGTGCGCACATCCTCTTCATACTAATGGCGCACAACACTCTCTCTGTAATTTCTCAGATGTGCAGTGGCTGGACTTTTTTTTTTAAAAATGGTATCAACCACCAGGCCAATTTTGACAAACCATTCTTGTTCGGGACCATCTCTTTAATCTCCCCCAAAATATGAGCAGATAGGAATTGGAGACGCTTCTCTGGGGAAATAAAATTTGGGTCACATTTTTCTGCGGATGTGAATGGAATAAAAACAGAAAACTTGTT